CCGCATCTCGATAACATGGTTCCTGCTTCTCAACTTGGCGGAGGGCTTTCAGTATCTGGGCGGCCAGCAACGCGAGGGCATCCTGGGCTTTGCCATATTGGCCGAACATCTTCTGGAACTTCGACTTCAGCTGTTCGAGAATCCAAATTGCCTCGACCGCCCACCGTTGGGCCCGGGCCCCCCGCAGCGTCTCTGCACCTTGTGGGGGCTCAGCGCGACAGGCATCTGATGTTGACTTATCTCCAAAACGCCCACGTGTCAATACGTCTCTGCATGTCACTGGCCTGCGCTTCATTGCTATCTGTTGAAAATGAAACTTTGGGCTGCTCCGTGAAACTCGCCCTGGGCTTTGCACCAGAGGGCGCGGGCCAAATGGCTGACCTGCCCCCAGGATCGAAAGGCGCGGCATCGCGCCAACTTTTCCCACAGCGCTCGCGCCAGGTCCACGACCATTCGTTGCATTCCATTCACAGGACCCACGACGCCATGCCCTGCGAGGCTTAGCAAGAGGAAAATGACGTCATGGGCGGCGGGCCAGGAAGGGCCCAGGCACGGTCGTGGTTCCCGAGCTCCGAAGAGCCCTGCTGAAACTGAAAACACCCCGTCTGGCCTGGCAAACGAGGGGCGCTTAAGGGACAGTTCCTCCCCTCTGCCAGAAGGTCAGGTCCTGCGCCGAAGCGATGCGAAATTGATCCGAAAGTGCTACGGCCTCAACCCTCCTCCTCCTCCTCCTGCTCCTCGTCGTCTTCCTCCTCCTCCAACCCCCCTCCTAGTCCACATGCGCTGCGTTTCCCCGTCGCCCTCCTGCTCGCCAGCGCCGCCATCGCCGCCGGCACCGCACCCTCAGCACTACCCTCACCAGCATCACCAGCATCGTCAGCATCACCATCATCTGCATCATTAACATCAACATCCTCATCATCACCACAGCCACATCCTCATCACCACCATCACCAGCAGCACCGGTATTCTCATTAACATTACCAACATTAACATGCTCATAATCAGCACCACCAGCATAATAGGCATCATCATTCGCATCATTCGCACCATCGTCAGAAAACGCATCATCATCAGTATCCTGACGAACATAATCCGTATCACCATCAGCATCATCACCACCGCGCCATCATTTAAATAGTCATCAGCCTCAGAATCATCAGCATCCGCATTATCACCAGCACCACCATCACCCTCAAAAGCAGCATCGCCATTATCATCAGCACCTCCACCACACATCATCATTACCATCGCCACCGCGATTGTCATCATCACCATCGCCCTCACCAACATCATCGCAACCATCATCACACACCACGCCACACATGCAACCCGCGCCCGCGCCGCCATCATCACCGTCATCATCGTCGCCATCGCCACCACCAGCACCATCATTACCATAACCACCACCAGCTACAATCAGCATCAGACCCATCATCCACTTCAAAGCATCTCCATGGCATGAGCATCAACAACATCATATCATCATAACCACCACCACCACCATCACCATCTTCACGATCAAGTTCACCATCATTACCGCAATCAGCATCATCAGAACCACCATCATAACAGGCAGCATCATCACACCCACATTGGGGGCCAGCGCCGACGAAAGTCCAGGAGCATGGGGGGCAGCCAATCGCAAGAGGACTCGACGTCGAACTGGGGCCCGCCCGGCCACCCGCTGCGGGCGGCCAGCGCGCGCGCTGGGGCACCCGACAAACCGCGCCGCGAACCTGCCCTTTCGCGGCGCAGTGCGCGGCCGCGTTTGCCGAGATCTGTCCTGCGCCTGCGCCGTTCGAGGTCGGGTAGATGGGGGGCCCCGCGACGATGCCATCCACGTCTCCGCCCGCGCCCACGCCCCGGGCCACCCCGCCAGCGTCTTCGCCCTCGCCTGCCACTGGCGGTTGAAGGTGCGCAGAACGCGAGACATTGAAAGATCGCAGCAGTTTTTGACCAAAAGGATACCGGCGGGGCGACGAGGGGCAGGGGGGCGGGGCGGGGCGGGGGCGGGGGGCGGCGGCGGGGGCGGGGGGCGGCGGCGAGGGGGGGGGCAGGGTCCGTGCTCATTCCAGCTCAAGCCCACCGAACACCGAGCACGGCGCCCTCTATTCTGCGAGCGGGAACGCCCGCAACATCGAACGCCCTGCCACGGCCAACACGTGCGACGCGCGCATATGTTACCAAAGCACTGCCGAACATGCCTCTACTTTATGGAATACATGCTGAAACGCACCCCGTCGATGAAAGATGCAATTTCACGCAGCGGAAGGGGATCTCCCGCAGCGTGCATACGGAGCGCGCGGGGGCCGCGGAAAAGCTGCCAGACCCACTGAAACGCTCATCTGGGCCTTCACTGGCGTCGCGACCCCCGAGGACGCCGTCGCGTCGGGCTCATTGAAGCCGAACCTGCTGTCCGCGTCGTTATCCTGGCTCTCCTGGCCGTCGTCGCTGGTCGCCTCGAGGAACACGCGCGTGCCGTACTCGCCATCCGTGTCGGGCCACGCGCCCACGTTGCCTGAGATCAGCGTCGCAGACTGCTGGTGTGACCTCTGCTCCGCTGCCGCTGCTGCCGCCTGCTGGGCAGGCGGATGCGCGCGCGCCGCCGCCGTCTGCCGCGGCTGCAGGGCGGCCGCTGGCACTGGCTGCCGGGCGGGCGCAGCGGGCTGCTTGCCCTGCGGCCGCTGCTGCTCGAGGGCCGCGATCCTCGCGCGTCTCTCTCCTCTCGACTCCCTGGATCCTTGACAGCCGTCGCCTCCTGCCCCTTTGCCTGCTGTCTTCTCGTCGGCAATCCACTTGCGGCAGTTGCGCGCGATGCGGCTCCTGCCTCCGCAGTAGAAGCACTTCTCGTCGCTCTCGTCAGCCGCTTTGCCGTTGCGTTTCGGGCTCTTACCCTTGCCTTTCGGGCCCTTGCCCTTTGCTTCTTCCCTTGCCACCTTTGCTGAACATAGCGCCCACCTCCATCGGGTCACCAATTTCCGTCGTCTGCCACGTCCTGCTCGCGCTGATGCACGTCCTGACCGGGTCCACTATGTTGGGGTACGCGTCAAGCGTCGAGCCGTTCAGGGCTAGGTGCTGGCCGACCGTCTGGTTCTCGATGCCGCTGAGGACCGTTGCTGCCAAGATCTCGTCCGGGATCTCCCTGTCCGACTGGTCCGTACACTGATTGACCATGCTCTCGAAGTTGTCGAGGATCTCGACGGGAGGGTCGGGAAGCTTCGCACGCAGCACGGAAACACCAGCAGGCGCCAGACCTCAGAGCCGTGCCCGACTGGAGCACTCTTGGCCTTCTTCAAGGCTGCTCCCTTCACGAGCATCACCAGCACGTAATAGAGCTGACCGTTCGCCTGGCCCTGCTCCGCGTCGGGGCTTTCGTCTGGGATCCCCATCGGCTCTGGGTCCTTCGCACTCGCTGCCGCCAGCGCTGTGATGGCCAAGCTCACCGCCGCAGCGTAGGCCCTGAACGTGAAACTCCAGTCCGACCACTCCGCTAGAGCTCCGTCGAACACTCCAGGTTGCTTGACGAGCCTTGTGTCGACTCCGCTCGCTGGAATTGCTGGAGCTGCTGCTGCTGCCGCTGGCCTCTGCAGTGGCGCCTGCTGAGTCAGGCGATCAGCGCTCCGTCTCCAGGAGGCGGCGTCTCAGCTCCTCTCTCAGTTGCAGCAGCTGCTCCATCTGCTGCTGCATCGCCTCGATTTCAACCGCGGACCCTGCTCAACCTCTACTAGGTCCGTGGGGCCAACCCAGGGTTCCGCTACCACGCGTGGAACCCGCTTCGGCTTCTGGGGCCCCCTAAAAGCCCAAAGAGCCCATCTCTGAACCCCAAGAGCCCCGCCTTTCTCATGGGCTGGCAAGGCGCGCCTGAGCAGATACAGCTTCCGGATGCAACACGTGGATTGCACCGTATACATCGCAATATTTCTCTGGCATCGGGGGCTGGAGACTCGCAGGGCCATTTTCAAAATGTGGCTCTCGCATTAGCGCCGCGCACAATCGGTTCGCACATGTGGAAAAACTTCACGTATTGAAGGCGGCTCCTTTCCTTCAGAATGGGGCTCTCGCCTTCGCGCCGCGCACATTCGGTTTGAGAAACTGCGCGAGTTTCATGGATTCGCATTATCAAAGTACCACCACGGGCGCAACAGTTATGTTGACTTGCGGTGTCGAAGTCCCACAAATGGCGTTATGGCAAGATTCAGGATCGTCAAGACGCAACAGACTACGTTGATACGTGGAGTTGACCTCCCGAGAATAATGTTTTGGCATGCTTCAGGATCTTCAAACGGTGACCGTCCAACGAAACAGTTCCCTCAATGGGAATGAACCGTTGCAGGGGTCTATGAAGAGGGAGTTTGGAGGGAGGGATAACTCCAACATCGTTGATGACTCTTGGGTATACACTGGTCCTCCTGCTCCTCCTCCTCTCACCTACTCCTCCTTTTCCTTTTCCTCCTCCTCCTCCTCTTACCTGCTCCTCTTCCTCCTCCTTCTCATCCTCCTCCTCCTCCACTTATCCTCCTCCACCTCCTCCTCCTCCTCCTCCTCCCTGCTCCTCCTCCTCCTCCGCCTTTTCCTCCTTATCCTTCTCTCCTCCTCCTCCTCCTTCACCTCCTCCTCCTCCTCTTCCTCCTCCTCCTCCTTCTCCTCCTCTTTCTCCTCTTCCTCTTCCTCTTCCTCCTCCTCCTCCGCCTGCTCCTCGGACTCCTGCTTTCCTCCTTCTTCTTTCCTCCTCCTCCTCCTCCTCCTCCTCCTCCTCCTCACTCCTCCTCATCTTCCTCCTCCTCCTCCTCCTCTTCCTCCTCCTCCTCATCAACCTCCTCCTCCTGCTCCTCCTCTTCCTCCTCTTCTCCTCTTCATCCTACCTGCTCCTCCTCCTCCTCCTCCTGCTCCTCCTCCTCCCCTCCTCCTCCTCCTCCTCCTCCTCCTCCTCCTCCTCCTCCCCCTCATCCTCCTCCTCCAACATTCACGGCCGCCACCGCCATCATGCTGGGATCGGCCTCCCGCGCGTAGCGGCCGTCCTTCGCCAGACGGCCGCGCTCGGACTCGCGGCCGGCGAGCCTGGCGGGGGGGCGCCGTCGCTCGCAGCTGGCCGGCTGGCGGTCGCGAAGTGCGCCTTGGCCTCCACGCTACTTTTTCCCTAAAGGCTTGTCGACGTTTCGCGAATCGACTTGTGGGGATCGAGCCAGATAAATCCAGGCGAATGCAGATGAATCGAGGTAAATCCAAGTAAATCCAGGTACATCGAGTGAAATCCGGGTACAGCCAGGTAAATCCAGAGATCTCCAGGGAAAGTTGGAGCAACCCGCGGCCGCTCCAGCGCGAGTCGAAGGACGGCAGAAGTCGTTAACCCTTGAACGACTCTTGGAAGATACCTCCTGCACAGCACTGCCCGCCCCAGGCCTCCAGCTCTTGGCAGTCTGTGTGCTGCGCGGCGGCGGAGAGGGAGAGAGGAAGCGAATAGCAGGCAGCCGACGCCGAACGCACAGGCGAGAGGCCAGGGCCAGCGGGGCAGGCGGAGGGGCATGCGGAAAGGGACAGAGGGGAGACAGCAAGCAGGGACCAGGAGTAAGACGAGGAACCAGAGACGGGGAGGAAACGCGGAGGAATGAGGCCAGTCAAGGGCCGTCCTGCCCCCCCTATCATCCCTTCCAACAAAAAAAGGCGAGCGAAAGACCCAACCATATGCAGTTGTGAGTCCCGCAATTGTGAGTATCGTGTTCGGTGGGGCTCCCTATGTGGCCACGAAACGTGTGAGAGATGTGCCGGAAAGGAGGTGGAGCCGCATGCGAACCCTTCCACTGGGCGGCGCGATCAGCATCGGCGCCGTGATTGGCCTGGCCGTCGTCATCGCCATCGTTGTCACCAGCATTGCTACGAACATGGTCGCGTCTGCCATTGCCGACGTCGCCATGATACAGCGCCCGCCAGAGCCACATAATGCCACGCGTCAACGCGAGCTACGAGACGCGCTGGAAGTCCCCAACGACCAGCGCCACCGAAGCCGCGTCAATCACGCTAGACTTACTTGATAAGCAATACACCTACCCCCAACCCTTTCGGCAGGGGGCCAACGTTATGAGGGCCAAACACATCAGAGATAGAGTTAGTTTCTAAAAAATACATCAAACCAAACCGCCCAATTGTATTATCCCTGATGCGAAAATAAGGACGTGAGCGAGGACACGTCTCCATCACGTTATTATGCTCACTGAATTCATTTGTTCTCAATGATTGCTGGCCGCTCTGCGCGCAAGCCTGCACGCGCTAACGCGGCCGCAGCGATGCGCCAGCCAGCGCAAAGCAGTGAACGCAAGCGCCGCCTATGGGTTTTACAAACCGAGTTGCGGGTGGGCGCGCGGGGTGATTACGCGATCGGTGGGGCTGGTAACTTCGAGTTTGACAGGGTGAGTTGCGTCGCGTAGATCGCCCCACATGGCTGTCGCCACGCAGATTGCCCCACATAGGCTGCACCACAAAGATCCTGGCTCACATTGCACCATATGTGTGTATATATATATATATATATTGCTGGACATTGATTGCACCAAGCTCCTCACACACCCTGTACTGCACCACTGAGGTTGCACCACATGTATTGCGCCACATACATTGCACGACGTGCGTTACACGACAAATATTGCACGGCGTAGCTGGCACCGCCTAGACTGCATCGCGTTTATTGCACCGCATACATTTCACCAAGTAGTTATGCTAGGGCACACTGTGTGGGGCCCACGCTAGCTAACATGCATGCTGCATTATGAAAGCGGTGTTATCCACGAAGTGCTAATTATGCGGTGTAATCAACGTGGCGCAATATACGAAGGTGCCAACTTCAACTCTCTCGCAATTATCACGCCCGCCCGCTTGCAACTGTGGGGGGTTGAACACGCATGCGGCGGCGATTGCGCTGACTGGTTGGCGCTGGTTGGCGCAGCGCCGGCGAGCACACAGTCGGGCGCAGAACGGCCAGCAAGTTCGGAGCAACTGTCGCGGCTGCGAGGGCGCATGCCGATTGGAACTTTCCAGCGCACGTCCATGGCAGCGCTGGCGCGCGGTCACTTCAATGCGATTCGGCGGCTCGGGCGGTGCGGCATCGGATCAACGGCGACAACACAGCGACGGTGGCAGCGATGATGAAAGGCAACCACGGCAAGGCCACAGACGGCGCCGACGCGGGCAACGTCGACGTAGATGATGTGATGTCCACGCGTCGCCGACGAAGGTCCCGGATAGATTTCGACTCGCGGGCGCGGCCCGCGTGGCATGGTTTGACATGGATCGCGACCCCCCCCCGCCCGCCCCCAGCGACGTTCGGAAAAATCCGACACGCGCGCGCGAAAGCCCCGCGTAATTTCGCGCGAGAGAAATGCTGAAACAATTCTACAGATTGTCCTCAAGATCCGCACAAGAACGCACCCGCATTTGGTTGTCCGGTAAAAACGTTTCAAAATACACCAAGTGGTATTGTCACGCATGGTTTTTGAAGTCCCTGCATGCGCCCGCGACGACGAACGCGCGGACGTTGTCCTTTGTTGTCAGACAGGATTCCATGTTGCAACTTGACGGATTTGATCAACGAAGGCGCGCATGCATTTATATGGCGAGGACGAGGGGGGAGCGCTGCTGGCTTGGCTGGGATAGCTCGAGTCAATGATGGGGCACATATGCATTCCCCCGAGGCGCATCCCTTAAAGCAGGGCGGGGGGGGGGGGGGGGGGCAGATCTGATTTCCATTTTGAATCGGGAAGTGTATGTGTTTTCATCTCCGCGCGGCGCCATGTACGCGATGCAAGTCACGCTTGTTTGCAAGAAAAGATCAACCCCACTGTTCGCGCTGTCGCCCCGCCCACCCCCCACGTAATCCGGTTTGCCAGACCCGCGTGGCGGCGATTGCGACGACTGCTTCGCGCTGGCCGGCGTGGCCGCCGTGGCCGCCGGGGACTTGCCCAGCGCGTCTCGCAGGCCGCGCTGACGCGCGGGCATTCCAGCACGCGTCGGCGGCTCGGGCGGGCGCGGCACTGTGGCGACGTCAGCGACGGCAGGCACCATGGCGATAATAGCGACGCTTGCGACGACGACAACGACGACGGCCAAGCCGATGACCGCGCCGATGCTGATTTCGCCGATGACGACGCTGGCGCCTGCCGGCGGCGATGAATCTCGCGAAGGCATGTCGTCATGCGCGCGCGGCCGGCAGACGCGAATAGCCTACAAATTACTATCGGAAACGCCTCCCCCGGCCCCCCCCCTCGCGCGCGCGCGCGAGGTCTTTCGAATGATTTCGGCACGCGCGCGCGCGAGAGGCCGTTTTGGTCGCGGCCGATGAGGGCGGCGAACAACCAATGGCGTCCATGCAAGTCCGCAAGAATCCACGTATAACAGAAATACAGGTTGAAAAAAACAAACGAGCTCATATGCGTTGACGGGGCCACTCGATCTTGGAACCCTCGGAATCCATGCGCGCACTTCGCCGCATTGTTTCGCGCTGGGTTCTCGAAAACAAAATATGTTAGATGCGCAGACGCGCGCATCAGCTCATTTGCACGGGAAGCTCCGCCGGGGAAGGGGGGGTGGGGTGGGGGGGGGGTGCGAGTTTCCGGCGGACGCGTTTTTTGACACCCCTCACAAGGATCGTGGCCTCCGAGGGGGTTCCGAAATCGAGTACCACCCCTCCCGCACCAAGAGGCTCCGAGGAGGCCTCCAAGAGGCCCCAAGGGGCGCAGAAGAGGCCCCCAAGAAGCCCCAAGAGGCTCCCAAGAGACCCCCAAGAGGCCCTCTAGTGGCCCCAACAGGCCCAAGAGGCCCCCAAGAAGCCCCAAGAGGCGCCCAAGAGGCCCCCAGAAGTCCCAGCCAACCACGAGATCCCAACCAGCATCCATGAGGCCTCTGACCCACCACCCACGCACGGTGGCGGGATAGGTCGACGGCCACTGGATAAATGCTGAGTGAGAGGAGGGGAGGGAAAAAGAGAGGAGGGACGAGGGCGAAGAAGGATCACATCAGTCGGAGCGCCCCGGATCGGCGGCACTGGCCGAAGGCCACTACAATATGTTAGATGCGCAGACGCGCGCATCAGCTCATTTGCACGGGAATAGACAGGGGGGTAACCGGCCGAGCAGGGATGGCGCATATTCAGTTATCAAATGACCGATGGGGCAGAATCGTACCTAAACTGCGCTTCCAACGCATCCTAATTCATGTTTCAAAAAAAAAAAAAAAAAAAAAAAAAAACTAACACTGCTGAGCCTGGAATTGTAAACTCAAATATTCGCGCAATCATCCCGCCCACCCAACCGCAACTGGGGCTGCAAAACTCACGCGCAGACGATTGCGGTGACTGCTTGGCGCTGGCTGGCGCATCGCCGCGGCCGCGCTGGCGCGAGCAGGCGCGCGCGCAGAGCTGCCGGCTGGTCTGGCGCGACCGACGCGGCCGCGGTGAAGCTGACCGCCGGGGCTTGCCTGGCGCGTCTCGCAAGCCGCGCAGTCGCGCGGGCGCATCGTCGCGCGTCGGCGGCTCGGGCGGACGCGGCACCATGGCGACGACGACAATGGCAGGGCCGATGCTGGAGACGACATGACGACGACGACGGCCAAACCAATGGCGGCGCCGATGCTGGGCACGCCGACAACGATGATGGCGCCCGCGCGCCGGCGATAAAACTCGCGGGGACATTTCGACACGCGCGAGCGCGCGTCCGACGGGCGCGGCGCGAGCGGCCCGCATGGCGCCATTGGACAAGTCGCCCCCTCCCCAGCCCAGCACGCGCTCAAAGGCGTTAGCTGATACCGACATGCGCGCGCGAGAAGCACGCTTGGTTGCGTCGAGTGAAACGAGTGGACAACATGCGTTGTCCGCAATAACTCGCCTATCCGCGCGCGTAGTTTTTCTGAAAACGCAGTTTGCAAGACAGACGCGTTGGATATGTTTCGGGACATTCGATGTCTTAACCCCCCTGAGACATTTTGCGCGTTTGAGTGATTCCGGCGAGACGCGACGACGCGCGCGTGCATTTTGTTTCGCGTTCTGCAAGCGGATTTAGCAAATTGTGGATATT